CTCCTTCCCTCCCTCCCTCCTTCCCTCCCTCCTTCCCTCCCTCCCTCCTTCCCTCCCTCCTTCCTTCCCTCCTTCCCTCCTTCCCTCCTTCCCTCCTTCCTTCCTTCCCTCCTCCTTCCCTCCCTCCTTCCCTCCCTCCCTCCTTCCCTCCCTCCTTCCCTCCCTCCTTCCCTCCCTCCCTCCTTCCTTCCCTCTTTCCTTCCCTCCCTCCTTCCCTCCTTCCCTCCTTCCTTCCCTCCTTCCTTCCCTCCTTCCTTCCCTCCTTCCTTCCTTCCTTCCCTCCTTCCTTCCTTCCTTCCTTCCTTCCTTCCTTCCTTCCTTCCTTCCTTCCTTCCTTCCTTCCTTCCTTCCTTCCTTCCTTCCTTCCTTCCTCCCTCCCTCCCTCCCTTCCTTCCTTCCTCTCTCCCTCCCCTCTTTATATACTGTATTAAACAAAGGCATTTTCTAGCTTGGTATTTGCTACTGAGGCTGCAGTTGGAATGAGACAGTTGATGGGGTGCAACCAAGAAAAAGAAGTGAGAAGGATGACTTTCAAACAGAGTATCATCTCTGGCTAGGGACTTAGAGTTAGAAAGTTAGATGATTAGAGATATCTTTTGTTACAGTTTCCCTGAGTAAGGAGAGAATTTTTATACCAGGATATCCATTCAGGGAATGAGTCAGTAGCAGGGTGGAGGGGCAAATAGGAGTGGCTGGGCAATTCTGTTTGCAACCTTACCTCACTACAGCTACATATATTATAAAGGGAAAGTCTAGAAGCCATTTTTTTGGTGCTGCTCTAGGTCACAGACTACTCCGGGGATACTAAAGTTCCATGACACAGATGGTTGGCGTGAGACTCAATCTATGAACCCAAAGCATGACTTATTCTTCTCAGAAGCACCTGGAAGAAAAATCCCCAGCACTTGTGCCTTTGATCCTTTATCAAAAGCCTCAGCAGACTATAAAAAAATCCTTCAGTAAATATTGCTAGGACGGATAGATTTTGTGTGTGGGCTACCTTTCATTTCTCTGTGTGTTGGCAAACTTACCATGCTGTTATTCTTCTGGGGAGCATGTGCTACTAAAGGATGAGTGACAAACAGGAGAGATTGAGCACATCTCTAAAATCTGATATGTAATTCCCCTAAATAAATGCTAGCTAGCATTTATATGGCACCTAATATGTATTAAGAACTGTACTAAGCACTTTACAAATATTGTCTCATTTGATCCTCATAGCAACCCTAAGAGGTGGGGAGTATTATTATATCCATTTTACAGATGGAGAAACTGAGGCAAACAGAGGCTAAGTGACTTGCCCAGGGTCATACAGCTAGTAAGTATCTGAGGCCAGATTTGAACTCAGGTTTTCCTGACTCCAGGTCCAGTTGTCTGTTCACTGCACCACCAGCAGCCTAGGCTCTCTGCATGCTTATATAGTTATCCCTTCCACATAGTAGGGGGTTAGGGGTGTGGCACCCTCATGATCCAGAAAAATCCACATAACATTTTTTGGCCCTACCTTTGTACCAGAGAAGAAGTCTGAATTATTGTGGTATTAGAAGATAAAATATGTTGATATTATACAATACCACACACGTGTTTTATGAATTTCTGAGTTTCTAAATCTTTTCGGTGTCATTTGCTGGCCTTCCCGTTTCAACTGAGGATTCCACAAAACTCCCCCAAAATTCCCATCTAATTTCTCATGCCAACCCGTGACATACTGAAGCTGCAATGGGGAAAATCGCGATGTGAAACGATGAACTGTATCTTATTACTTGAAGTCATATCTTCAGATTTTTTTGCTTCTTAACAGCCCCATATATATGTCATATTTTTATCCCTATTTCTTGTCTTCAGGACTCTTTTATCTTCTAGCCCATTTGCAGAAAAGTGGTGACTTAGCAACAAAGATTCAATCTATGTTTATATTGAACCTTTACTAATATGATTGCAAGACTCTTAGTGCTTGTGTGGGGATATGTGCGTAATTTTAGGGGCTCCAAATAATGTCCTTAGGACTCCTGATATCATAGCTACAGCATAAGGTGGGTCAAGCTAAGATGTTTAAACATGGGTGAGTAAATGGAGGATTAAATAAACCATATGAGCGAGGGAGGTGGAAGAGAGAGATACGTGGAGGTTATTGACTCATGCATTTAGTCTAGACACTTGGATAACACATGTAATGGCATAATAGATAATGCCCAGTGAGCATAATGTGAAGCAGGCTACTTTCTTCCAGGACAATAGGCAGTAGACTGAGATTTATGGAAGGCCACGACAATTCTACAGAAAAGAGGACTTTCAGAGTTTTTGTGTTAAGCTGATTCCACAGTGCCTAGAAATGAAGCTTGATTTCAGTGTCATTGTACTTAATGCAGGGCCTCTCAGGATCAAGTTAAAAAACTCTGGGAAAGTCATTTACTATCACTGGGCTTCAGTTTCCTCAATTGCAAAATGAAGATGATAGTATTTTCACTATCTGTTTAGCAAGGTTATTATGAGGAAAGCAATTCATGGACCTTAAAGCACTATATAAATCTGGGCTGTTGTTATTAATAATTTTCATTATTATTAATTTTAATTATTCTCATCTCTCTTCAGCCTGAAACTTGGACTTTGCCCCTGCACTTTGGTAGGTGAATTCTTGCCTTATCTTTCCCAGAAGGGTGCAGGGAGGGAGGCAGGAAGAGGAGAAAATAAATGGGTATTAACTGAAGAAAATTATATGAATTTTTGATAGCTGCTACTACAGAAGTAATGTTCAGTGATTCCTGCGCAGGAATCAAGTGGGTGAAGAAGACATGTTGCTCAAATTATACATGCAGTTGGATGAATTAACTGAATTATTGAATTAATCCCTAATTACAATGCATATATTTAGCATAGGTGTTTTACCTATAAGAGGTATGTGGTCAGTGGCATATTGATGAATACCTTTCCAAGAAAAAAAGTAGGAGGGACACACTTTTTAGTTTAATCTGTATTATTAACACTTTCTTAAGTTTAGAGTTTAGACAACCAACGAAGCACTAAATCAAATCTACTGATTTGTAGAATTTGTTATTTCCAAGGTGTAAATGCTCACCCTGAAAATTTAACAATGGGTACTCATGGATTCAAGCTTGCTCCATCAAAGTTGATGAAAGTAGAGTACAGTATATTTTACCAATGATGATTTGTGAGCACGTAGCGGCGTAACAGAAATAATCAAGGACATATGTGACCAGAAAAGGAGGTGGGCCAGCAATGTTGTAAGAACAAGGGATGGTAGATGTGGAGCCCACATGTTGTATTGGGATGAAGAGTTGAAAAAAAGCGTTTTGAAGGCATTTGCTATGTGCAAAGCATTGTGATAAACTCTGGGGAGATTATGCATAATATATAAAAATACTACATATAAAATAAACATTACACACGTGTATATGCGTGCACACACACACTTACACAACATACATACACACGTATACATACACACATGTAGATATATGCACATATACACACACATGTGTATGTGTGTGTCCACACACATACATGATAGTCCCTGCTCTCAAAGGAGTCCTATTTTAATAGTGGAGAAAAGGAGGTTGCATCAGCAAGTCCAATGAGTGACCGGCTAAACTGACAGTACTGTATCCTCTCTGAGATTGTTTCTACTGACAAAACCATATCTGTCCCTGATGTTCAGCCACTCAGCAATGCCAAGGACTTGGGTGGCGACTTTCTTTCGTTTCTTTTCCAGGCCTGCAGCGGCAGTGGCTACCAAGCAGGGGAAGGCTTCGGCTCCCAGCAGCAGCAGACAGGTCCTTTCTCCCCAGAATGGCTTCTCTGGGTGATGACTTTAGGTTCTTAGTCCAGGATGTTAGGGCCGGTGGTCTGGGGATGGGCTCCTTAGGCTCAAGGTTCTGCACTATTTCCGTTGGGTTCTGAGAGGTGTGGTCAAGGCTGTGGCTTGCTGACTGCTGCCCCCTGCGTCTTCCTAAGGCATCTTTGCTACTTCAGAGAGGCCAACTCGCCATCCCTGTAGATAGATGGCAGTTGGTCTATTATTGATCGGTGTCTTCTGTAAAGAGGCCATCCCTGGATCATGGCCACGGTGGCTGGGTCAGCAGTAGGGTCGGTGGTCTCAGAGACGTTGCTGTTCACAGGTTTACCTGCCAATTGTTGGCCATAAGCCAATAGGTGGTGTTCTTGGTAGTGAGGATGGTGAATTCATTCCCCACAGTGTTACTGCTTTCAGCGATGGTTGTGGGGTCAGGCTGAATCCATGAAATATGAAATATCAAAGGAACCAGGGGAAGGCCTCTATGCATCATGAAGAGATGCTCTATGGACAATTTATGGGAAGTCATGGACAAGAAGTTCAGAGGCTAAGAAGGCATGAATGAATTGCAGTGATAATAATAGCTAACATTTCTGTAGTTCTTATTATGTGTCAGGCACTGTGCAAAGCACTTTACAATTATTATCTCCTTTGCTCTTTACAATAACTCTGGAAGGTAGGCACTATTAATAACCTCACTTTACAGATGAGGAAACTGAGGTTAAGTGACCTGCCCAGGGTTATATAACTTGCAAGTATCTGAGGCTGGATTTGAGCTCAGGTCTTCCTGACTCCAGGCCTGGCCCTCTTTCTACTATGCTGCTCTATACCAGTGATAGAAAGAATGACATTTATATGATCCATTGAAATATTAGACTCAAATACAAGGTGTCCTAAAAGTCTGAGGGCAGTCATTTGTTATCAAAAGATTAAAACCTCACTAACACTTTTTGGGTCACCCTGCTTAATAATGAGAATAGTAATAGGGAAGGGAAGGGAACTGATACAATCATTTTGGAGAGCAATCTGGAATTATGCCCAAAGAGTTATTAAACTGCCTATACCCTTTGACTCAGCAGTACCACTACTAGGTCTATTTCCAAAGAGTTTGTTTTATTCCATAAATTAAAAATAAAATAAATTTTAAAAAAAGAAAAAGAAAAGAATTTCAAATAGAGAAAAAGGGGCCATATAAAACTTTTGGGAAAAAAAGGGCAAGCTAAAAAGCAATTTTTAGCTTGCCATATGATTTTTTTGGTTGAGAAATACTGTCTCCAGGGTTAATTTTTAAGGCTATCTTTGGTGAATGGATGAAAAAGGTATTTCTTAGTCATTTACTATGTGCGTTTTTCTCTAAAATGAGGTGATTGGACTCGATTATCTCCCAGGTTTCCTCCAGCTCTAATATCCTCTTAGTTTCAGATTCTCTAAGGGTCTCAAAGCCCTTGGCTTTGTGGGTGATTGTGTGAATTATCGTTGTTTTCTGAGCAAGACGAGGAGCCAGGAAAACTGAAAGCAAAACCAACACACAGCTAAGGCAGGGAAGCAAAAACAGCAACATGAGTAATGTTCATTTTCTACAGTAATTTATCCATGTCACTTAGGCGATGGGTGGAATGGTGTGTTTCAAAACAAAAAATGAGAAGTGAAATGTTTGACATTTGATATCTCCAAACTAACCAGGATGACTATTTTCAAGTTGCTAAATGACTGCCCTGAAAGTCCACACTTTGCAGCAGCCAAACAAGAAACATATATCAGGACAAATGCCCATTGATAGTAAAATGTTTAGCTAATTGTCTCTGTATTTGACACATCTGTTATTGACCCAGTGGTTTGTTTATTTAACTTCTGACTGTTATCTTCATTAGGAACTTTTTAACATAACCAAATAATGTTTAGCCTAGCAAAGGGGATATATTATACTTGTGTTTACTCTCTTGTTTCTAAAATTAATTGTTTTAAAATTTCCCTTGATAATGACCCTGAAAAAGTACAGGAATGTTGATGGAAGGGAAATGCATGAATTTGTTCCTTGTTAATGGACTTTGGCCCTCAGTTTCCTCATCTGAAAAAACTGAAGGGATCAGATTAGATGGCTCTCACTGTCCCTTGGCTCTAAATCTGTAACATTTGTCAGATACTAACAATTAAAAACAGAATTAGGTCTTGTTGCAGGACAGGAAAAGTGATTTGTATTTATACTAATAACAATAATAGCTAGTATTTAAATAGCACCTTAAGATTTTACAAATATTTTTTTTATTTTATCCTCACAACAACCTTGGGAGGTAGTTGCTATTATTATCTCGATTTTACAGATGAGAAAACTGAGACTGATAGTGGATAACTTGCCCAGGTTCACATATGCAGTAAACGTCTGAGGCTGGACTTGAACTCCAGTCTTCCTGCTTCTGGAGGGTCCCATGCTATATTTACTATGCCACCCAACTTAGTTGAAGCAAATTATTATGTATATGCAGTGTTTTCTTAAATTTGATTCTTTGTCACAATAAAGGATTTGTCTTTAAAAAAAGCGTGTAAGCTTGATGAAAATAGCACAGTAGTTTGTATTAATGCTATTCTGATATTTTCATAATACTTCTGAAAGCATTGGTCAACACCACCACGGTGAAATAGAATTACAAAGCACAAAAGGCCACTTCTTTTTCTAATCAGGGTGAGCTCACAAACTTAATTTTTTAAAAAAAATTCTAGTTTTCAAATGAAGTACTTCAAGTGCAGACAGGAACAAAAATACTGAAAATATATTTCCAGAAGGACCAGTTAAATGTGTTAATGATGGTACACATGTATTACATACATATGCTGCACATGTGCTTAATTTTTTTTTAACTAAATAGGAAAATCTTACTCATCTCAGTAGAAAAACAGGGTCGAGATTTTATAACTGCTGCCATTTGGGGACTTGACGGTATTTTGTCTCTTTGCAGTTTGTCAAGAGGTAATTTATCTAAAACTGGAAAAGGATATGGTTTTGACTGACTAAACTGTGGAGTGATATGCAATGATAAAAGTGCTTAGGGGAATTTTGGGGACTCTTGGGCCAAACTTATGGGGTTGTGTAGGTGTAAAGAGCTGATCAACCTCCCTTCCTGGTACATTTTTTTAAACCTGTGAATCCTGCTGACATTTTATATCTCAGGCTGGAAAGATAAACCATTACTGGTGAATTTGTACTGTGGAGTACAGACTGAACAAGGGGTCCTTGGATGGCCAATCCTTCTTTTAATTGCAGGAAGCATATTGGTTTTGGTGCTTGGTCAGAGAGGAATTTAAACATGAGCTATGGATGAGAACTTCTAATTCTACAACTGGGTTGATGTGTGTCTCCAGGGCCAGCCTCTACCCTGTTGATGGCAGGAGGGAATGAGACCCTGTTCTTGCTCTGGGTGGAAAGTGTCTGTTTTTAGTACTGTATAGGTCCAATTTTTTGGATAATGATAGTGTTCTGAAGCCATCTTGGGGGCAGCTGAGTCAGTAAGGAAACCTGGTGAAGTAGGTGAAGCAGGGGATTGAATTGGGAAAGACAAGGTCATTCCCTGGGTTAAGAGTGTGTAAATTATTTCTTCCCTGCAAATGGAGCTGAAAGCTGGAAAAGGTCTGAAGACAGGGAGGAAAAAGGATAACATTAGATGATATTTATGTAGGGCTTGAAGTTTTGTAGAACATATAGATTATTTCATGTTAAAGCACAACCTATGAGGAAGTGCTATTATTCCCATTTTACAGAAAAGAAAACTGAGGCACAGAGAGGTTAAGTGATTTGGCATGGTCATGCAATTAGTAGCAGTTGGAGGTAGGAGTTGAACTCAGCTCTGCCTAACTTCAAGCCACAGTACAGCTGGAGATCTAAACAGAATGAGATGGTACTCTTCTATTTAAATGCATATAGGCTCCAGGAGCGATGATGCTGGCCAACAAGGAAACCTGACTACTAGAAAGAGTTGGTCATCTAGCATAGAATAACAGGTGACGGAATCATAGGATTATCAATTTACAGTGGAAAGGAACAATAGAAATTTTGTAGTTCAATCTCCTAACTTTTCATCGATGAGAAAAGTGATTCTTGGAGAGATTAAGCGATTTGGCCCAAGTCACATAGGCACTAGGTGTAGGAGCAGGAATTTGCACTTAGGTCTCCAAATTCAGCACCCTTTTAATTTTATTTACTATAGACCAATGGGAACTGAAAAGGGAGGTGCTGGTAATATTTAACAATTCGCCTCCTGGGAAAAATGTATTTACCTCTCACTTTTAATTTGCATTAGTAATATGATGTTTTTAAGACTAGAAAATCAACAAAACAATAAATCCAGTTCTGCTTTGTAATATTTGCTGACTTTGAGGCATAAATACTCACTATGAAAATTGAACAATCTGCTCTTCAGTGTCCGTTTGGACAAGGCTCCATCACATCCCTGGAACCAAGCCTGGAACCAGAAAAAAAACAGCATTAACAGGAGACCAATGAATGTAGTAGACTAGTGAATTCAGGCAAACTGACTCAGACAGAATAGAACTGGACAGGAACAAGCACCGAATTCCTATGATTCCTCCAGGAAGGGTGGGTTAGGCAACTATAAATGAAGTGGGAAACAAGATTGGGAAGGGATTTGGAGGAACCATATAGAATAGTATCTTCTTTTCCTCTCTTAACAGGGTAAAAGATCCCCAGAAGTAACAACATATTGAGGCATGATGAAGCATTAAGATATTAGGGTAAAATAATGCAAGTATGATGAAGTGGAAAGACCAAAGATTTAAAGATGAAAGATATAAGCTCAGGTTCTAACTGTACCCCTTATTGTGTGATAGAGGGTAAGTCACTTAACTTCTTTGAGTCTCAGTTTTCTTATCTGTAAAATGACAGTAATTGGTCAGTTGTTGTCCTTCATGCTCAGAGAGGACCAAAATGACATCATTATGTTGGGGTCAGGGTACAGTGTGTCTGTCTGTGGCTGATCAGGACAATATGAACGCAGATGCTTTACCACAGGTAGGGCACAAATAGTCCATATGAACATTTGGAGTGGAGAGGTTTCTAAATTTGCGCATCACACGTTTCTTTTGAGCTACTGCACTCTGTCCTTGGGGCACTGTTTTATAAAACTTCTGCCCAGGTGCACAGAACTTGATGCAAACATAATTTTTATTTTAGGCATAAAGGGAAATGAAATTTGAGGTATGCCAATATGTAAAACCTTTAACAGTAGGCAAATGCAATCACAAGGCCATAGGATTTTAGGATTTATAGCTTAAAGGAAGATCACAAAATCGATTAATCAACAATCAGTTATTAAATACCTACTATGTACCAGGCACTATGTTAGGTGCTGAGCATACAAAGACAAAAATAAAACAATCCCTGTCCTCAAGGTGCTTACATCCTAGCTTGAGACAGCATACATACACATAAGCATAGTGGCCTCTCTGGGGTATTTCACTCACCTGGGCCTCATAGGCTACAGAGTGAGTCTCCAGGGAGTTACTGCTATCTCATGTTCAATAATAATAACAACAATAATAATAATAGCTAACATGTAAATTATCCTTTGCAGCTTGCAAAGTGTTTTACATACATAATCTCATTGATGCTTGCTTTGATTTAGGTGCTATGATTATCCCCATTTTACAGTTAAGGAAACCAAGGCTGAGAGGTTAAATGATTTTTTTCCCCAGTGTTACATAGCCTAGTGAGTGTTTGAGGCTAGATTTAAACTCTAGTCTTCCAGATTTAAGGTCCAGAGCTCTATTTACTACACCTAGCAAAGTATTCTATAGATATGAACTTTTAAAACTGTAGTCCCTGTGTTCCAATTGGCATTCTTATCTTTAATAGTCAGTAGATGTAATTAAGGCAAAGTGAAAACATTTACTAAAATGACATATAAGAATGGCAGTTACCAGACATTCTTCCCCCAAACCTGGGCACACTGCATTAGTGAGAAGAGTGGGCACGTACATATTGTACATTGGGCACAGTGTACATTGATAGTGAGGCATATGTACAGGAATGATATGTGGATGAAACAACTCATACCTTTGTTGTTGCAAGGCTCTGTCTTACTCTGGTGCTCATACACTACTCTCCTTTCTGAACTGGACTCTCTGAGCCTGCTCTTCTGTGTAGCTTGACCCTAAGTGGAAGTGTTAATTCAATCCGGAATCCAGGGCTAGCTCTTTTCTCTGCTGCCGGGGGTCATACCCCTCAGAACTGTCTCCACTGATTAGCTCTATGAATAGTTTCTCCTATTAGGTAAGTAGCTCAAATGTGAAGTGCCACAGAAGATGGAGAAAGGGGGAGGAGGAAAGAGAACTCCTGTCCTCTGCTGCTGCCCTCTGGAAGATGTACAATGGAAAAGGCAAAGAGCAATCTCCTTTCAAGAGATGATTTCCTCCTCCTTAGATGGCTGTCCTCCAGACTGCCAAGGGTCACATTGCTTGAAGTTACTTCTCCCCTCAACGCTCTTCAGGGCTGGCAAGCAAGCTTTTAAAAGGCCACCCGAGGTGTGTTCACTCTCATACCAGCCAATGTCAAGCTTCCTTTTTAATTCCATCCAGGAAGAAATTCTTTATACCTCATAAAGGGGTCACAAAAAGGAAATCTTTCCCACTTTATGGCATTAACACATTGTTGTTTTTGATATCTGCCCCTTCTGTGATTTTATCAACTGGTGGTGGGTTGTCCTAATCAACTTCCTTACTATATATTCATATACACATATATGCATATACATACAAACTAATGATAAGATCTTCTAGTCCACTTCCCAAATTGGTCTTTTTTCTGTGTCCCATAAACGGCACCCTATCTCTTCCTCAGTGCCTTATAGGATCTGTTGCCAGGAAGGTTGTCTCACCTTGCTTCTTCTATCTCTTGGTGGAGGTAGGTAGGACCTTGGTGCCTTTCCTCATAGAGGAGGGAAGTACAGCCTCCCATACAAGGCTATTTTGATTCTCCTAGTTCTTTTCCCTCTTCTCTGAAATTACTTCGTATATATTTTAAATTCATTTACCTACAACCATATTATTTCTTCCAAGTAGAATGTAAACTCTTTGAGGGAAGGAATCACTTTGTTTTTGTATTTACATCTCTATCCCCTATCCCAGTGTTTGAAACATAGTAGGTCCTTAGCAAATGTTCTTTGAACTGGATTGAATTCGCTACTTTTTCGATGAGGAGATTAACAGAAGATGGTTACATTTACTAGTTCCTGGAGTAAATATTTATATTTCTATCATTGTAGGGAACATTACAAAAAACTAGACTATCAATGTAAAACATAAATATAGGGCTAAGAACACTGTACTTTGAATTTCCTAATGCATAGAAAGTCTGATTAATTTTTTTTTAGAGCTACTGGCTAGGTAAATTGAGGTCCCTGTGAATAGTACTAGCTTATTGATGAATACAGTATTTCATGTGACACTTTTTTTTTTTACTAGCCCCTGTCCCAATAACAGGTACTTGCTTATTTTCAAAAGGCCCAATGCATAGAGTAGCCCATGGATTTGAATTAGAGTCCAGCTTGTTCTATTTGTCAGCAAAAGAACACTGTAGTTCTGTCTTGGAAAGAGATTGGAAATTTATGACCTTTGGATATCTTCCTCCATATGTTATTTCCACTCTGGTCCTGATTCCTGCTGTTTTCACTATTAAATAACTTTAGTGTGAGAACTTGGGCAAGTCATGAAAAATCCACATCTCTCTTTAGTCTTGAGGGACAAAGTAGAATGAGAATAATTAATCCGAATATTAATGCTTACAGGGCTCTTGGGAGAATTAATTCATGTTTTAATTAAGGTTGAAATACTAAGTGGAGATATGAAAACGAAGAATAAAGCTGGATGGTTGCAGTGTTTACATATTTAGAATAATGTCACGTGGAAAAGAGATACTCTGTCCCCGCTGTTCTGGCTTAAGACCAGAGTTGGTAATGGGGGGTCCCAAGGCTCATAGTATTTATTTGCGTGTTTTCTTGGATAGCAGATGGATATTGGACTGAGTGTTTATTGGTGGTAGCAGGTAAGTTGGGGAAAAGTTCAAGCTGAGATTCCTTAGTGTACAAGCCCTGGGGCCTAGAGCAACTGATGACGTTCATGGGCAGAAGTACAGACAGGTTGTCTAAGACAAATTAACGAAGACGTAGGAATTCATCAAGGACAAAACCAAAAGTACATACCTGTGTAGCACAGGGAGGGTCAAAAAGGCATCGCAGCAACAGGATTCACAGGATAATGATAAAATCAGAGCAGAGGGCCAAAGCAGTTTCAGCCAAAGGAGAGCCCCAGAGGATGGAAGGCAAGAGTTCAGGGAATAGCAAAGAAATGGAGGCAATTTGCTTCACTCAATTGATTTGACACCTCCCAGCTTTTAAATTAGGACAGGTAGACCTCTCCTACCCATACAGCCGATCTGATGGGTGGCAAATTCTTCCAAATGGGAAGCAGCTCTGTTAAGGTTAATGACAGACATTAGAGCTACTCTGTGGGAACTGAATCAGAAGTAGGATTAAGGGATGGAAGGTATGGAGAGGCAGATTTTGGCTCAATAGCAGGCAGATCTTCCTAACTATTGAAGATGATTGAAAATAGGATGGGTTTTATTATGAGGTAATGAGTTTCCCATCACTGGAAATATTTTGCACATGTACCAGAAATTCCCTAGAGTTGTGGTTTGGCTGTGGGGAGGGGGGGTGGTGAGGAAGGGAAGTGGAATAGGATAGAGGCTGATCTCTTAGTCAATTAGTCAACGAGCACTTATCGAGTGCCTACTATGTGCCAGGCTCTGGAGATAAAAAGAAAGGCAAAAAATCCCTGCCTTTGAGGAATTCATAATCTAATAGATATCCAGGCAGCTGGTAGGATGGGGCTACTCAACATTGGATCAGGCCCAGGAGTGGGGAACCTGTGGCCTCGAGGCCACATGTGGCCCTCTAGTATGCCTTTATTATAGGGCCTTATCATAGTCCACAAGTTCCCCACCCCTGCCTCTAAACAGTGAGAGCAAGTGCACTGGGGTGTTGAAATTGGAAGGAGTATAACTGTGGCCCTGGTTGTGCTGTGGCCTGGGCTTTCCTGGTTCCTATCTTCATTGTGAAAGTGTTGTCTGTGTCTGCATTTGCCTCGAGGGTCAAGGCTTGTGCTGTTCTCTGAATTAGAGAGCTTATTCTTTCTGCATACCAAAGCTAAAGAAAGGAGCCACGATGAAGCCTGATTTTAGACTCAAAGTAGAGCTGCTGTTTTTCTGAATCAAACTTCTTGAGTTTACTTCCAATTTCCTGTTTCCAGAGGAAGGATGGCAGGTATTAAGGATGAGACTGTGATGTTGTGATTACTTGAGGATGCTCTAAGGGGATTCATGTTTCTGGTTAGAAGTTGTGTTACATGAGTGCTAAGATGGTACATATCTGCATAGTGATAATAACTC